AACCCGAACCGGCCATTGTTTATTCAAAATACGCAAAAACTTCACTTGTTGTAGGCTTTGAAATATTACATGAATACTTGAAATATTCAACATTTAAATGTCCCCAGTAGTTCAGTCTTTTAAACCTACCTATTTGCTACCTATTTTACACACCTGGCATCCTTTTCTCTGCTCCATGTTCATTAATGCTTGGGCTCAGTTTCTGAGCCGCTGAGCTGACGTTAAGTGTAAATGCCATTGGTGTGTTTGGTGATATGACTGGTGTGGAATTGTGTAGAATTGAGGTGTAACCGCCATCCCATAGTTTTTGGGAAAGGAGAGTTGGAGCGCGTTATGTCGCAGTGCATTATGAAACGGGCTAATATTAAGAGAAAATTGAAATACGTTTGTGGGCCGTATAGGATTGTGTCGCGGGCCTGATCTGGGCCTGTGTTTGACACATGGGGTATACAGCCTAGATGATTTCAAGGATGCAACTGATGTATCCTTCCAGGCCTTCGGTTACCCACAGTTCTCTGCGCACGAACAACGCGAAGGAAAAAAACCGGCACTAAGAAAATGACGGAAAATGAAGCCATTGGAGCAGAGCTTCATTTTAAATGTCCTTGAATTCGTCTTCGTTACCTTATAAAGTGTAAAATGACTGATTAATTAAATAATTTGTCCATATGTCATATTTTATTTATAAGTATTTGTATATATATGTAGTTTATCGTACTGCATAAGATCATCTCCTCCATTTCCGTGAAGAAATGAAAAAGCAACAAACTCAATGCAGCAGATCCATTTTCTCTCACCAGCTCCCTCATGAGTTCCGCACTGCAATTGCAAGAGGCGGGACCTTTCTGGTGACATCACCACGCAGCCTCGTTAGGGCTGCTTCATTTGTGTGACCAATAGGCTACTAAGGACGAGTCTTCATAGGACAGATCTACCGAGGACCCGCACGACCTCGGCTGCAGCCCAGGCTTTGGAACGCAGCGAACATTTGTTGTTGTCCACTCAGATTGCACTGCTGGTTCTAAAGCTTAATAAAAACTGATCCACCCAAAGCACCACATGCTAGAACATGCTCATCCTTGCAGTTTAGCACTGCTAAAGGAACTTAATTATTGTTTTTTTGAGGGCAGCAGGGCCAGATGTTTCAGGGGTAACCTGTTGCTGTAACGACTGACTTTTCTTTTGCACTGATTGGTTGCCGTGAGTGCAGGTGGCTCTGTAGATCAGCTTTACATTTATTTTAATTGCAATATTAGCCATCAGCACATGTCTGTAGCTGAAATGTTCTGTTATTGAGCCGCTGATCACGGGTCGCTTAGCTTTAGTCTGATTCACAAGGTGCATTTCTTCAGCGTAACTGCATGAAAATACTGAAATGCGCTTCCTTTTTAACGTCCTGATCCTTATTTGGCTGAATAATCTTACGAAGCCTAGTGCTCCCAAAAATATATTCCAGATAAATTTATCAAATATATTTTTGCAATGTATGAAAATGGCCAAATTGTATGTATTTTTAATTGTATGTAGCTGTAATAAAGGTGACAGATGTAACTGAAACGTACTGACTTCTGTGATCCGCATTGTACTTTACATTAACCGTGTACGTCTGCAGTGAGACTCTCACACACACTGTATTTCAGATAAACACGATATCAAATCATATCTGCATTTTCACAGAGTATCAATACCCACAACACTCGCTTCTGTCATGTTAAAGGATCATTTGATCATATTTAAAATGAAGATACTGGAATACAAATTCATTTCTAAAGGTATCAGACAGTAAACAGTGCATTAGACAGGATTTTGGCTGTTTTCATACATTTTCAAATGGATTTGATAAACATATTTACATATGTTTATTTTTGTGTGAAACATTTCTGTGCGTAATATTTCCCCATAGATTTTATGCTAAATGTAATAAAATATATTTGCTTAATATGGCAAAATATTCTGAAATACATTTTAGTGTTTGGAGTGTATTTCAGCATCGACTGCAGTGTATTTGAAATGTATGGCTGTTCAAACGTTTAACTTAAATAACCGAGGTTTGAAATGAACACGTGAGAGCAGATTTTCCTCGGCCTACATCATAGCTGTCAATATGTCAATAAGGTCGAAGTGCCCCGACTGGGCTTTAAAAGCTTTTTCATATTGAGGAATTCTAATAATATCCAAAAAGAGTGTGATAGTCGATATAGGCCGACTGTCAGGGGACCCTGAATGGCCCCATTGTGGACCATATGGATGCCACATTGCGCCAAAAAAACGATCTCAGCCCTAAGAAGCTTTGATTATTGATGCCGTCTCTGGCTATCTAGCACCAGAAGCAGCCGGAGAGAGGCTTAAACGGTCAATGCCGGAGCCATACGCCTCATTACGACTTGGACACCCTCTGTTTTATCAGTGCAAGCGAATGGCTGACCAGCTTATTAGAGGATTTGGCATCTGTTCGAGTCTGAGTTCAGGCGGGTTCTAGTCTGCTGGCTTTAGTGTCGGCTCCTCTACCGACATCCACTCATTCCACATCAAGCTCTGAAGAGATGAGTCCGAAAGCTCGAGCAGAGACGTTTAGCAGGAGGTGTGAGAAGGTAAGGTTTTTTTAAGCTAAAAAATTTCATTATGAGCACAGAAAATTTAGAGCTGAAGGAGGTGGAGGTTACAGTATTATTGACATATTGACAGCCTTGATTCTTACTCATCATGATTTATGATCTTCATATTTCTTAAGCTTTCTGTACAATAAGGATCTGGACAAGGATACGAATTAAACACTGATTTTCTCCCAACATCTGCACATAAAATATATAACAAGATGTTATACACCGATCAGGCATAACATTATGACCACCTCCTTGTTTCTACGCTCATTGTCCATTTTATCAGCTCCACTTACTATATAGGTGCACTTTGTAGTTCTACAGTTACAGACTGTAGTCCATCTGTTTCTCTGCATACTTTGTTAGGCCCCTTTTACCCTGTTCTTCAGTGGTCAGGACCCCCATGGACCCTCACAGAGCAGGTACTATTTGGGTGGTGGATCATTCTCAGCACTGCAGTAACACTGACGTGGTGGTGGTGTGTTAGTGTGTGTTGCACTGGTACGAGTGAATCAGACACAGCAGGAGTTTTTAAACTTTGTGTCCACTCACTGTCCACTCTATTAGACACTCCTACCTTGTCAGTCCACCTTGTAGATGTAAAGTCAGAGACGACAGCTCATCTGCTGCTGCACGGTTTGTGTCGGTCATCCTCTAGTCCTCCATCAGTGGTCACAGGACGCTGTTGGCTGGATATTTTTGGTTGGTGGACTATTCTCAGTCCAGCAGTGACACTGAGGTGTTTAAAAACTCCAGCAGCACTGCTGTGTCTGATCCACTCAGACCAGCACAACACATACTAACACACCACCACCACATCAGTGTTACTGCAGTGCTGAGAATGATCCACCACCCAAATAGTACCTGCTCTGTGAGGGTCCATGGGGGTCCTGACCAGTGAAGAACAGGGTAAAAGGGGGCTAACAAAGTATGCAGAGAAACAGATGGACTACAGTCTGTAACTGTAGAACTACAAAGTGCACCTATATAGTAAGTGGAGCTGATAAAATGGACAATGAGTGTAGAAACAAGGAGGTGGTCATGATGTTATGCTTTCTCTTCTCTTCTCTTCTCTTCTCCTGTTTTCTTTTCTCTTCTATTATTTTCTCTTCTATTCTTTTCTCTTCGCTTCTCTTCTCTTCTCTTTTCTTCTACTATTTTCTCTTCTCTTCTCATATTTCTCTTCAGGAATTTAGGAGTCTTAAAGTGGCCACGAACCTTTTAAAAATCCAGTAGTAAATTACAGTTTTGTTAAGCAGTTTAGTTTATCTTATATTAAATGTTGTCATATTTAAAAAACAGGAGATGTTTTAACTTTATGCTCCAGCAGAGGGCGGTGTAGAGCCGGCAGCTATAACACGCAGGATGTGCTGCAGAAAAGCGCTGATAAACAACAAACTCAATAGATATACATGCCTAAATGTCATAATGTTATGCCTGATTGGTGTAATAGACTAAAGGCTTGGCAATCATAGAAATTCTCTCTATATGTAGAGAGCAAAGGATGGCCGAGGATTTTGCTTCCAAAATAAGAGAATGGGTCGTCTAGTTAACGAGGAAAACACAAGGGCTTTCAGAAAGTGGAGTCGATGTGCCCCCCATTCAGAGAGAGCATCAAAAAGTGGAGATGGTACTATTTGCCAGTAATTAATGAAAAGCACCCAGAATAGACTGTCAGAAAGAGGGTTAAGGAGGGACGTGGCCAAAACGTGCATCAGGTCAGCTGGCACCGATACTCATCATGATTTGTATGTCGGCCTAATGTTACCAGATGCCTTCTTAGAGTGCCTGAATATGAATTTATGACTGTTATCTATATAAATATTCAATATGATGTTTTTCAGTTTTTGACGTAATTTGAAAATACCTGTTGGTCTTTACATTGTGTGTGAATTTCATGATCGATGGACCAAAAGAAACGGCCCAAAATGACTTGGACAAAATTCTGGTTCCACTGACTGACATTAAAAGTACAGTATGTTTTTTCCTTCTCCTGTAAAGTTACCATTTTGGAGATGTGAGGTTTTCTTCCAGTGATACGCTGCTGTGCAAAAGCCTTAGTTCATTTACATTTACAGCATTTTGCAGATCCAGAGCGACTTACAGAGTGATCAGGTTACAGAGGTGGGCAAAGTAAAGGCAGTGTTAGGGGTCTTGCCCACGGACTCTTACTGGTGTAGTGTAGGGCTCTTCCCCCAGCAGGGTATCGGACCCCAGTCAGCAGTGTGTGTGTGTTTTCTTTTAACCCACATATTAAGAATTTTACTGAAAAATCGACCAAACTTTGAAAACCCGGTCAAATTATGTTTTCTAAGTAAAAATAAGTTAAGTGAGTTCACCGATGTGCAGGCGCTGTGTCTGGTGGTCTTCCTAACATCTCCATGTTTCCGTTCTCAGGTTGACGAGCCTGTCGACATGCTCCCCAAATCGAGAAAAGCGCTCAGCATCCAGGAGATCGCTGCACTGGCCAGATCTTCATTTAACGGTAGAGACTCATTACAGCGCAGTTCAGATCTGACCTTCCACATTTAGCTGTTCATCTGAGATCAGCACTCATTCTCTTCTCTTCTCTTCTCTTCTCTTCTCTTTCTCTTTTCCTGTTTTCTCTTCTCTTTCTCTTCTCCTGTTTTCTCTTCTCCTGTTTTCTTTTCTCTTCTCTTCGCTTCTCTTTTCTTCTACAATTTTCTCTTCTCTTTTCCTATTTTCTCTTCTCCTCTTTTCTTTTCTTTTCTATTCTCCTATTTTCTCTTCTCTTCATCTCTTCTCCTGTTTTTCTCTTCTCTTTTCTTCTATTTTCTCTTCTCTTCTCCTATTTTCTCTTCTCCTCATTTTATTTCTTTTCTCTTCTGATATTTTCTCTTCGCTTCTCTTCTCTTTTCTTCTACAATTTTCTCTTTTCCTATTTCCTTCTCCTCGTTTCTTTTCTTTTCTATTCTTCTATTTTCTCTTCTCTTCTCCTGTTTTTCTCTTCTCTTTTCTCCTATTTTCTCTTCTCCTGTTTTTCTCTTCTCTTTTCTCCTATTTTCTCTTCTCCTCATTTTATTTCGTTTCTCTTCTCATATTTTCTCTTCTCCTTTTTTATTTCTTCCTTTTATCTCATTTTTTGTTTTTTTTCTTTTCCTTTTTCTCCTTGTTTCTATTTTCTCCATGTCTCTTGTTAATTGTTGTGTACCTCTCTCCACTCTGCCCTTTCTCTTTTTCTCTATTTGTCTCTCCCTCTATTTCTTCTCTTTTTCTGCCTCTCTTTTTTTACCCTCTCTATTCTCTCTGTTTTCCTCGTTCTTTTTCCCATCTCTCTCTCTCTCCTCTCTCTCTCTCTCTCTCTCTCTCTCTCTCTCTCTCTCCCTCAGGTATCTCTCAGGTGGTGAAGGATCATGTGACTAAGCCCACAGCGATGGCTCAGGGGAGGGTGGCTCACCTGATTGAGTGGAAAGGCTGGTCTAAACCGTTCGACCCGTCGTCAGCCACTCTGCAGTCCCACTTCAACTCCTACTCCCACCTGAGCGAGGGCGAGCAGGAGGCGCGCTTCGCAGCAGGTGGGTTTCTCCTCCCTGTGCTTCAGATACTGCTGTTCTACATTCAGGAATTTAGGAGTCTTAAAGTGGCCACGAACGTTTTAAAAATCCAGCAGTAAATTAGAGTTTTGAAAAGCAGTTTAGCTTCTCTGATATTAAACGTTGTCATATTTAAAAACCAGCAGATGTTTTAACTTTATGCTCCAGCAGAGGGCGGTGTGGAGCCGGCAGATATAACACACAGGATGCGTCGCAGAAAAGCGCTGATAAACAACAAACTCAATATTCATACCTTGATGCCATGTTGTCTGTTGTTCTCTATCTGGGGCGATACGTCTGCGCGTCCGCCATGTTGGAGAGGTCAAGATCTGCTTGTGAACAAATTCACTTGTATTGTCGATGAAATCAGCCTCAACTTCCTTATTACTCAACCAATTTTCACCAAATTTGTTTAGTTATAATCCTCAGACACAGATTAATCTGGGCTGCACTGCTCTCAGTAGCTTTTATTACTTTAATAACTGATCGTGACAATTAGCCGTCCAGACCAGCAGGAAAGTATTCAGTCTGCACCTGACGTTAAAAACCGAGAAACACATCAGACACATCAGCAAATCTATCAATGTGTGAATCACTTCTGATTTTTAATACACATAGAAATAAAATAAACCCCCCAAAACACACCAAGAAGGACGGACCTAAAGTTAGCTTCTTATTCGCAGCTTCTTGTTCGAATTTTTCCGTTCCACCTTAAATGGTGCAGCTGTCACTTTCTGGTGCCTGAAGCTTCACCATTTAAGGTGGAACGGGAAAATTCAAACATGTTGCTGGCAAATAAAACGCTAACTTCAGCTGTGTGTAAGAAGGTTCTAACGTTAATCTATTATGAATATCTACCAGATTAAGGAATGCTAGAACTTACCCAGCTACAAAGTTTTAACCATCACTGTAAATAAATAACCACTACATAAAGTTAAGACCCTGAATAGACTATTAAATGAAATAAGCTTAATAGAAAACCAGAGGAAAAACAATCACATCAACAGGATCTCTGTGCCTCATTAACCACACGGCCATATCTACATAAACATCACACAAACAATACGCATCACACAGACATGAGTGTGGATCACTGTGTTCCCTCCGTTATATAATCCTATCTCACTTTCTGAGTCAATATGCTTGAAATAGTGTAATTTTGGACAGTATCTTTCTGAAACTGCCGCTCTGTAATGGTACTGAATGCAGTCCAGCAGCGATGTTGACCGCCCCAAAATAGCAGCGCTGTTGACGTGCCTGACTGGACCCAACGTGGCATCTAGGTATGTATATCTATGAACAAACTTGAGCTTAAATTTGACTGAAATGCGCATCTCTAGTACACACCTAAAAATGATGGTTCTTCAAGGGTTCTTAGTAAAAAAAATGGTTCTTTATAGAACCATGAACACTCAGAAAAGGGTTCTTCTACTGTTACAAGCTTGACATTGTGACAATAGAAGAACTCTTTTTGGTGCTATACACCATTTTCAAAAGGGTTCTATATAGAACCACATACCAGACATTCTCCATCAATCTGAAGAACCCTTTTATGATGCAAAGAACGCTTTAATCATGCAAAGGGTTTTTGTGTGTTAGTGGTTCTATAAACAGCCATTTTCTTTACTAAAGAACCCTTGAAGAACCATCATTTTTAGGTGTGTAGGAATTACCTGTGAGGGGCTGTTTTATTTGTTTTCTGCTGTTAGAGAGTCTCTACTGTAATGTAGAGAACAGTATTGGTCATGTTGATTAATATCTTGTCCCTGTCAATTAAAAATATTTATTTCCAAAATAGTAACTTTCCAGGAGGACAAAAACGTTCTCAACTTTGAATGGAAGTTAATGTAAAAAGGTTTTATTCCAAGCGATTTTGGAGAATTTTTGTTGGTCCATTTATCATGAAATTTTCACACAATGTCAAGGGCAGCTAACTCTCTCTCTCGCTCTCTCGCTCTCTCTCTCTCTCTCTCTTTTCATCCCCACTCTCTCTCTCTTCTCTTCTGTCTTCTCTCTTTTCTTTCTCTCTGTCTTTCTTCTGTCATCTCTTTCCTTCTCTCTCTCTCTCTCTCTCTCTTTCTCTCTCTCTCTCTTTTCATCCCCTCTCTCTCTCTCTCACTCTCTCTCGTTTTCTATCTTCTCTTTTCTTTCTCTCTGTCTTTCTTCTGTAATCTCTTCTCCTCTCCTCTCTCTCTCTCTCTCTCTCTCTTTTCATCCCCACTCTCCCTCTCTCTTTCGTCTTCTGTCTTTTCTCTTTTCTTTCTCTGTCTTTCTTTCTTCTGTCCTCTATTTTCTTCCTCTTCCTCTCTCTTTCTACTGCCCTCTCTATTTTTTCTTTCTTTTTCTCTCCCTTTTCTGTCCGCTCTCTTTTCTTCCTCTCTCTCTTTTGTCCTCTCTCTTTTCTTCTTCTTTCTGTCTCTTCTGTCCCCTCTCTCTCTTCCTCTCTCCCCCTCTCTCTTTTCTGTCCCCCTCTCTCTCTTTGTCTCTCTGTCTCTGTCTGTGTGTGTGTCTCTCTCTCTCTCTCTCTCTCTCTCTCTCTCTCTGGAGTATTATGTCCTGCTGTGGTCAGCTGCCTGCAGTTCAGCGTCTGACTGCAGTAAATTGGTTTCTAGCTCAGAGTGACCCGAGGTGACCACTAATCACTCTCACAGATCTGCTTTAACCGACCGACACTGACCTTAAACTCTCCGTCACTGAAATACTAAACCCTAAAGGACCAGAAACTCGGTACGCGTCCACTCGCACTTTCTCTCGCCGCAGTCCAGCCTGCCGGACCTCTCTGCTCGCGTTTCTGTGTCGTTATGGAAAGGAAGGAGCCGAACTGAACGGATCTGATTCTCTGAACAGTCTGATACGCTGTTCACTGTCGCACAGAAGCTTCGAATCAGACTAAATACACACAGAAGCTTTTAGTGCTTTCATGATTTTCAGAATGAATCTGTCGTCCAAACAGACGAGAACTTTCTCCACTCAGTCTCAACAGGAAGCTACCTTAGCAAGTAACCAAAGAGCTCTGTGTTCTCTTCTCTTCTCTTCTCTTCTCTTCTCTTCTCTTCTCTTCTCTTCTCTTCTTCTCTTCTCTTCTCTCCTCTTCTCTTCTCTCCTCTTCTCTTCTCTTCTCTTCTCTTCTTCTCTTCTCTTCTCTTCTTCTCTTCTCTTCTTTCCTCTTCTCTTCTGTTCTCTTCTCTTCTTCTCTTCTCTTCTCTTCTCTTCTTCTCTTCTCTTCTTCTCTTCTCTTCTTTCCTCTTCTCTTCTGTTCTCTTCTCTTCTTCTTTCCTCTTCTCTTCTCTTCTTCTCTTCTTTCCTCTTCTCTTCTCTTTTTCCTCTTCTATCCTCTTTTCCTCTCTTCTCTTCTCTTCTTCTCTTCTTTCCTCTTCTCTTCTCTTTTTCCTCTTTTTCTCCTACTTTTCTTCTTCTCATGATTTCTTTTTTCTTCACTCCTCTTCCTTTTTCCTTTCCTCTCCTTTACTTTTTTCTTCTCCTATTTTCTCTTCCCCCTTTCCTCTTCTATTCTCTTCTCTTCTCTTCTCTTACCTTATTTCCTCTTCTCTTCTCTTCTTTCCTCTTCTCTTCTCTCCTCTTCTCTTCTCTTCTCTTCTCCTGTTTTCTCTTCTCTGCTCTTCTCTTCTCTTCTGCTCTGGCTCTGTAGTTGTAAGTTCTGTTTGAGAAGTTGCGGTTCTGTATTCTGTGTTCTCAGGAGTGGCGGAGCAGTTTGCGATCGCCGAGGCGAAGCTGCGAGCCTGGAACTCTGTTGATGAAGAGGATGTGGATGAAGAGTGTTCTGAAGAGGATCTCCCTCAGAATAACGACTTGACCATTACGACCCAAAGCTCAGGTACGTACAGGTGCTGCTTTCAGGTGTCAGAGCAGATATCACACTCCTGCTCCCACACTAATGACCCCCCAGAGTTATGAGCACAAACTTCAGAAACAGTGACAGCTGAGTGATTCCTCTCCTCGTATCACAGAAATCCAGGAGCTTCACTACCAGTCGTGTGAACTGTGTACAAAAAAATATCGCTTTATTAAATGATGCCCAGATGGACAGTTTACTGTAAACAATGCCAAAGATATTTACTGTTCACTTTAAGCTTCCGAAAGCTAAACGTGTACAACATCTATCAAATATCTTTCTAATTGTCTAATAATTATTTATGTAATAGATGACATGGAAAACTAAACATTATAACATTAACATCCAACCAAATTTAGCAAAAGAATCGTTTGAAACTAATTAGTGTAACTAAGGACTTAGTAAACACTTTACGCCAAAACTTCAGTACAAACTTATGCAGAGCTGGTGCAACGCAGTCTGTTCTAGAGAAACGTACTGAGTCAGAATTGTTCACAGTGGTGGTGATAGGAACCAGACGTCCACCTCTAAAGTCCTGGACCTGATTCCATGTAGAGATTTGCCTGAACTGGTGGCACAAACAGTGCGGGAAATTCTGCAGTCCCTGTTAGACAAAACATCCCTCCACAACAGACACATCAGTAGATTGGCTGTATTTTATATTGGATTTTATATTTATATTTATATTGTTTTTTTATTTGCTCTTTTTAATAAAATAATATGTGTTTTTGCTAGATTGGTCTGACTTCTCAACAGTGTGTGGGCAACACTCCTTCTACTTCATTTAAATGCAGAATCTAGATATTTGGGTCGACTCCGAATCCAAGTAACGGGAATTGATGGGGTTCCCCACAATCATTTTCTCAATTCTCGCTTCCAGTGAAGACATACTTATCCTACTTTTATGCAGGAATTTAATGGTAATTAAACACGAAGGTAAGACTGATGCTGCAATTTATATGTTATACTTTATTCATCCTAAAAAAAATTGTTATTTTGCTGCCTATCCATGAACAGTCTGGTCAGCGTCAGGGCAGCTGTATCACCCCCGGTATCACCTCCCGGGTGCGATGCCACCATCGTTATCATTAGGGAGTCCTAACTAGCGGGTGGAATTGGAGACGACTAAATTTGGGAGAAAGCTGGGGAAAAAACCCCCCTAAAAAATGTACTTCACATGTATTAAGGAAGCGGCAAGAGGAAGACGTCGTGTTCTGAGACACATAAGCTGGACGTCCGTCCCACCGCCGTCTTTTAAAGATCACAGCATAAACTTTGTCTCCTCTGCAGACCAGTTTCTGCTCCGCCATGTTGAACGCTATAAACTTTCACTATGACGTGACGAACATGATCAGAACGGACTTAAACTTTCCGATAGGGAATGTAATCAGATACAGGCGTTTACACGGATATTATTCTTCTATTTAACGGATTATTTACAGGATTACTCACCTCGATCAATCAGATAGAAACTGTATTCCGAATGGCCTCAATCAGACTAGTCTATTCCGATTGAGATGTATTTTATTCTGATTGAGCCCCTGTAGTAATCTGCTTTTTACGGAGCGCAACAATAATTTACAATAACCTCTGAAGTCGTGTGTGGTTCTGTAATCGGTGTTGCTCCTGTATTAGGAACTCCGTTTTTGAGTACTGCAGCAGTCCAACCTCATTGCTTCAGCCTGATGCTCCTCACAGTTCCAGTTCTCCACAGTTTCGAGATAAACTGCATTTGTATGCAGAGGACACAGTTATGTATTCCTTTGCCACCTCTTTCTCTCTCTCTCTCTCTCTCTCTCACACTCCCTCTCTCTATCCTCCTCTCTGTCTCTCTCTCACTCTCTCAAACTCTCTCTCACTCACTCTCTCTCTCCCTCTCTCTCACTCGTTCACTCTCTCTCTCTCTCACACTCTCTCTCTCACTCTCACTCTCTCTCTCTCACTCTCTCTCTCTATCCTCCTCTCTCTCCTTCTCTCTCACTCTCTCTCACTCTCTCTCTCACTCTCTCTCTCACTCTCACTCTTTCACTCTCTCTCACTCTCTCCTCCTCCTCTCTCACTCTTTCACTCTCTCACTCCCTCTCTCTCCCTCTCTCTCACACACTCTCTCTCTCTCCCTCTCTCTCACACTCTTGCACTGATAGACACTGAACTGTTGGCCTCCACTGACTTCCTGTAATCAATATAACCCAAAGCGTACTGATTTATTCGAGTCTTGAAACTTGTTAATGTATGGTTAAGATGTAAACAGAGTCGTTCGGAGTGGTTTGGTGTGAAACGCTCCGTTCTAGAGAAACTTACTGAGTCAGAACTGTTCACAGTGGTGGTGATAGGAAGCAGTAGATCACTGAAGGTGGTGTTTTCTAGTGAATAACTAACTGTGATGATCTACTGCGACCGAATCACAGCCGTGAGGATATTCACCGTAACCCTGCGCCTCTACTGTTCTACTGCTTATTAGCTCATGTGGGAAATTGCGATGTTCTCTCTGTGCACCATGAAGGCAGAACATGCATGCACACCTTTCTCCATAGAGCTCAAGGTTAATCAGTCTTTGTTCCTTTTGTTCCAGCTTTGTCCTACATTGTAATTAAATTTTATAAAGAATAGTCCAGTCCTTCTGTCTCTTTCCTCTTTTGTCTGTCCATCCTTTCAACCATTGTTCTCATTTTTTCCTTTTCTTATTCCACCTTTTCATGTGTGTTTTCTCTTCCTCTTCCTCTTTTGTTACGTTCTGTCCCTCCTCTCCCATCTCTCTGTCTTTTTCTCTCTTATTCCTGTCCCCTCTCTGTTCTCTAGGCGTTCTGACTCTTTGCTCCTCCCTCAGACGCCGCGTTGTCCAATCAGGAGTGTGCGGTGCCGTGCCAGGCTGAGGCTGACCTTGAAACGTTCGTGGACGACCAGAGTGGCCTGCGGGAGTCCGGCCTTTGCCAGTTTAACTGTGAAGAGCAGGCCGTGATAGATGTAGTTCCAAAAGGGGTTGAAAAACTACAGCTCCCAGCGGATGAAGCCTACAGCCAGGTCAGCGAGTTCTCCAAGGCTGACCGCCGGCCTTTCTGGAGCCGAGGAGATTCCTGCTATCACTCCACCTCCTACTCAGAGTCTGGCCTTTCTCCAGAAGAGGAAGAAGAGGAGGATGGAAGAGAGGTAGAAGAAGGAGAGGACAATGTGTTTCAGGAGGTTATCCGCTGGTACAGCCGCTGCAGGAGCATCTCCGACACTTCTGGAGCGGCGTCCTTCGACGACGACGAGGCGGAAGACAGAGAGATCTCCAGGCAGTGATGTCCCTCTCTCTATCTCTCCCTCTTTTTCTTCTCTTTCTCTGTAAGGTCCCTTTAGTGCAAAGGTCACCAACCCTCCACCTGGAGATCTGCTCTTCTTTCCTGCAGTGTTTTGTTTCAATGTTAACACTATAACCCCAATGCAAACACCTACTCCAGCTAATAAACATCTGAGAAGATCTTGATTGGCTGGATCAGGTATATTAGCATTCACCTTATTCACGTAGCTGCCAATTTTGAATAGTGACATAAGTGAAAAATAGTAAATTAGCTTCAGTCTAACATTATACATCCTCATATTTAAGCACCATGAGATGTCTGAACTCTGTACTCCACCAGAGGGCAGTGTAGAGGCTCTCTTTGGTCAGAGGTTCTAATCTGTTCAGTGAAGGAAACTGAGGCCTCTTTTCCGCTGTAGAGCTCAATGGTTTGGTTACCGTTTCTTTTTCCATCTGCTGTGCTGCTAAATCAGAACCAGGAAATACTGAAGAAAAACTACACACGAGAGTGGCCCAGCGACGGCCAGCAGGTTAAATGCTACAGAACATGTTTGATTCCAGCTGTGACTCCAGTCACTCAATGTTGTGCTCTTGGAGTATTTATCCTCTAAACATGAGTTTTATGAGCATCAGTTAGCTAGAACCGAGCCTGCACTGCAGTGTGTGGAAGCTTTAGCCTGCTTACTAACGTTATACTAGCGTTATCCCAGCCCAGCAAGCTACAGCTCAAAACACCACAGAGCAGATTGATTTTGGCTCGCTGTCACTCCAGCACCAACTTTGTTTTCTTAGACATGAGTTTTTAGCATAGATATACATACCTAGATGCCGCATTGGGTCCAGCCAGGCATGTCAACGGCGCCACCATTTTAGGGCGGTCAGCATCGCTGCTGGACTGCATTCAGTACCATTACAGGGCGGCAGTTTAAGAAAGATACTGTCCAAAATTACACTATTTCAAGAATACTGCTCTAAAAAAGTGGGATAGTATTATATTACGGAGGGAACGCAGCGATCCACACTCATGTTTGTGTGATGTTTATGTAGATATGGCTGTGTGGTTGGTGAGGCACAGAGAACCTGTTGATGTGATTGTTTTTCCTCTGGTTTTATATTAAGCTTATTTCATTTAATAGTCCTTACACTCCTTAATCCGTGTAGATATTTATAACAGATTAGCACCTTCTTATACAAACCTGAAGTTAGATTTGCCAGCTTCTTGTTCGTATTGTCCCGTTCCACCTTAAATGGTGCGGCAGTCACTTTCTGGTGCCTGAAGCTGCACCATTTAAGGTGGACCGGGAAAACTCGAACAAGAAGCTGGCGAATAGGAAGCCTACGTAGCTTCGTCCTTCTGTGTATAAAAATCAGAAGTGATTCACACATTGATGGATTTGCTGTTTGTGTTTTACCGGAGCGGTATACTTTCCCGCTGGTCCGGGCGGCTAATTATCACGATCAGTTAATAAAGAAGTAAAAGCTAGCGAGAGCAGTCTGTGCAGCCTGGATTAATGTATGTCTGAGGATTATAACTAAACAAATTTGGTGAAAATCGGTTGAGTAATAAGGAAGTTGTGGCCAATTTAATCCTGACACTCATCGTCTCTCAATACAAGTGAATTTGTTCACAAGCAGATCTTGACCTCTCCAACATGGCGGACGCGCAGACGTATCGCCGCACATAGAGAACAACAGGCAACGCGGCATCTAGGTATAAATATCTGTGGATTTTAGCATCTAAACTTAAAGCAGACGTAATCGAAGCTGTACTGGGGTGTTTGGATCTGTAGGCCACTAAATAAGCTAAATGAGAGAGAGAAGCCGATTAGCATTAGCCTAGCTAAAGTCCAAACACCACAGAACAGGTTTAATTTCGGCTTTCTGTCTCTTTAACACCAGCCGCTTGACTTCGCTTCCTCAGATTTGAAGTCATCATCATCTAAACATGAGTCAGTGTGGCTCTGATTAGCCAGAATTGGACCTGTTCTGTCGTGAGCAGAGCTGGTAGCATGCTAGCTAAGCTAATGCTAACTAGCGCCTGTCTCCTAGTTCGCAGTGCTGCTTAACATTTAGCAGTTGTTAGATTGATGGTTTTGACCTTTCAATTTTTGAATGATGTGTTGAAAATCGTACACTGCTTTCACTTGTTTGGTGACCGTCTACATGAATTGAAGTTGCGTGAACTGAAACTTTGAGTTTCGGAAAGACGCAGCGAAAGAGTAGCGACAGAAACGAATAGCCATGAACGACTCTGTGGCCCCAAGCATGGTTAGCAGGGTTTGTAAGCGTTCCATGTTGAACCATGTCCGTGTGGAAATGGCGCTGGAACAGCTGCTCTCTGTGCTCAGAGCCTCAGAATTCCATGCTGGTCTAAGCTGGTTTATGCTGGTCTGGTCACCCAGGATGGTCACGCTGGTTGACCAGCACACCAGCATCCAAAACACAACAGATGCCAGTCTTTGCCAGTTTTTCTAGCAGGATGATGTATCTGGCATGCGATGGCCCATGTAAGAAGTGGATTTATTTATTTATTGATTGATTGATTGATTGATTGATTGGGGGGAGGGGGGATTTTTTGAACATGGCTTACAAGTTCAGATATCAAATTTGACTGAAATATCCTTCCTCGTTTACGTCACAGAAGGCACAAACAGGGTAATCAGTCAGTAAGCAGCTGTGGAAAAGTGGTGCAAAAACATTTACGTCTTAAAATTGTCTAAAATGGTCAAATGGACCCTGATAGCAAGAGGATAGTGGACACTGTCAGCCCACTGATGGCAAAGCTGGTGGTCCACTGGCATTTTGCTCAGCGTTTTCCAGGCGGCCCACCGGCGGTTAAGCAGAGTAATAGGCAAAATTCCACATATCGTTGCTCATTTTCCACTCACAGTCCAATTTACTGATTTTTCCTTCATGTCTTTCTTTAGTTATGCTTTGTACATTAGTTTATTAAATAATTTTAATACAGCACAGTGTCGGCAACATTTTCTATAAAATCATTTTATATCCGGCCTAGTCAATATTTTATTCCCCTAGTTGTTTCTAATATTCTTTTATTTTGTTTATTTTCTAAAATAAATATCCGTGTGCATTTAAAATCTGTTTGAGGAAATTAAAAACTAGTTAGAGCTTGTTTGCAGGACAGTAATCTGGGAGGTCCGAGGGTGGGCCAGCAATGGCAAACAGTCAGTGGGGTGCCGACCAGATCAAGCCAGTGGACCGACATATGCTTGCTATCTGGGGAGCTTTAAAGATACCTCAGAAAACACAAAGAAACACAAAGAAGAGGAACTTTTAATGGTTTCTGATCATTTTCAGCAGGGTAAGAAGCTGGGTTAGCTAGCTAGCATTAGGGCTACTAACAGCCAAGCATATATCGGTACGCAGGCTTGATAAGGAGGCACCTCGCTGACCGTATGCCGCTGCTGGTCCACCTTTGGACCACCCAGATTACTGTCCTGCAAGGTCAACTAGTTTTTAATCATCTCAAACAAATTTTAAATGCACAGAGACTTTTATTTTAGAAAATAAAAATAAATAAAATAGGACAAATACTACAAACATTCTTGATAAAAAAAAAATGACTACACTCTTAAAAAAGATGGTTCTTCAAGGGTTCTTTAGTAAAGAAAATGGTTCTATAGAGATCTATGAACACTCAAAGAACCCTTTGCATTATTAAAGGGTTCTCTGCATCATTAAATGGTTCTTCAGATTGATGGAGAACGTGTTGTAGATTGTTCTATATAGCAACAAAAAGGTTACAGGTCAAGGCTGTAACAACAGACTTTTTGGTGCTATATAGAACCCTTTTCAAAAAGGTTCTAAATAGAACCATCTATAACACATTCACTATCAATCTGAAGAATCATTTAATGATGCAAATGTTTCTTTGAGTGTTCATGGTTCCATATAGAACCACTGTCTTTATTAAAACACTTTGCATTATTTTTGAGTGTAGTCATACATTTTTTTTAATCAAAATTGGAATATTTGTCATTGTATTTTCCAAAATAAAAGTCTCTGTGCATTTATAGTGTGTAGGCCTAATATAAAACGATCTAGTCTTAAATATTGTTGCTGACACTGTGCTAGACTGGTTACAGCTGTATAACCAGAGAACTTGTAAAGAAGAGAATTTCCACTCTGCAGTGTCTTCCGGTTTTCTCAAACGCTAGAGGGCGCTCCCGAGCAAGTCCAAAATGAATGGGTTGATACGGAGCATTTGAGCAAAATCATAGTTTATAAATGTTTAAACGTGTTTATTATAAAAAAATACAAACATTTCCTGAACACATATATTTTAAGAGCTTTTAAACTCGAGTTATAGGAGTTTAAAACGTACGTTAAAATGTACGTTCTTTACGTCAGTGAGCGCGAACAGCCAATGATCTGCTCCGCTCACCAATCAATCATCATGCTCTAGCACTAATGCCCGCCTTCTGCTGCCCAAAACCCGTTTGCTGTAGAAAAAAGGAAACATATTGGTGAGATTTATTTGTTTTTTAGTGAAATACATCCTTCTTCTTTCTAAAATTAAAGGAGAGTTCTGGTTCAGTGATTAGAAACTATTTTAACTTTTTTTTTATTTTAACTTATTTTTAACTTTTCGTTTTTAGCCGTTGAGCTCCATTCACTCCCATTCATCGAGGACTTGCTCGAGGGCGCCCTCTGCTGTTTAGCAGTCCTGTTTTTGATATAACGGGGGAAATAGGAAGTGGCCAGACTCCTCATTAACCAGCTCTGGTATAACCAGCTTTATTTACAATACTGCTGTTAAAATATGAGCGGAAAAGTGGGCCGCCCGGAATACGCTAAGCAAAAAGCCAGTAGGCTGCCAACTCTGCTGTCAGGGGGCCAACAGCGGTTCTTGCTATCTGGGGTGGTGTTTGTGTTGGTCAGCTGAGTGAGCTTTCTCGCTAAATGCTTAAATCTTTGCTTCACTTTCCGATAGCTGCTGACCCCTCTTTACCCTTGTGTCATAACATGATGACGTAATGAA